CACCTTCAAATGACTGATTTCAAATCACGCATTTTGGTCCAATGTAACAATGTATAAAACAATTGAACTGAATGATGTGTTTGTACCATGAAACTGAATGGCCCGCAGTGAACGTCTTTTGCCATAGCGCATAAATGGTTATAGCAAATGCCGGCTTCTCGAAAAATGAATACTTAGCGGATTCTCAGAAAGAAAACCAAGTGCGTAGCGATATTAAATCAGAGGCACTGCGGTTGCTCAATAAAGAAGATGTGGTATTATTATTATTTTTATTGTAGCAGCATACAAATTCCCCAAAGACTTTTTGGGGAGTGTAGCTGAAGTGACAGTCCTTGGCCAGATATAAATCTGGGTCGTTCCGGTTACGTAGACCCGACTGTTGTGGAAACGAAGATGTGGGCATCGTGGACGCTGGCAATTATATTAAAGGTACTATTTAACTCTACTACAAAGGGTGTAATAAGGCGCGAGCATGGGAGTTTAACGAACAGCGCACTGGTGCAGTTGTGTTGGATGATCGAGTGGACAATTCGAACGTGCCATAAAAAGGGGAAATATTTGATGCTTTGTGTATGCGTTACGAAGAGCCGCATGGCAATTGCCGTTGGGATAGTCCATTGTTTGTAGTGTTTCCCGATGATGCGCTTATTTTAGAGGCTATCTATGGCGCGCTATACGAGTTTAAAACCCTGCCACCAAATCAAAGCACACAAAATGTAAGCAAAGAAAAAAATTAAAAAAGCAAATACTTAGTTTGTTTACTTCTATCATTCTTATAGCCACCACTAAGCGCTACAAATTATCTTTTCGAGCTGGATAAGTTAACGCAACCAATTATAGCCGACGCCTTGGCTGCACGAAAAATTGGTAACACCGGTCCAGTGCCGGTGAAAGGTAATCAGGTGAAAGTAGAAGTTCCCGTGGCCGTAAATGCCATTCAACTGAACTGAAATTAAATTTTAAATAATATAATTTACAATTTCAACATCTAAACGAAAAAAATTTAATACTTGTAGTAAGTGGTAATGTTTTTAGCTGAAATTCCATTTGCTTTTATTATATTTTTCTTATTTTGTTTATAAAGGTGTCTTAATACAATTGCATTATTTAATATTATATTTCCTACTGTATTTCTATCGTAGATGGATGCAAGATAAATAGAATATAATAAAAAACTGCATCCAGTTAACTATATCATATGCATAGGACTATGAGGGAAAAATCAACCAAATTAAACATTTGCTTGCCACTAATTTCAACGCAGGTAAAATTTTTATTTCATTAATTTCGTGAAAAGTGTGTTCTACCAGCTATTTTTCGACTTTGTAGATTCTGAAATCATAGTTCTGGTTCCGGTAATAGTTTGCTTAAAATTACAACATGTGTTTTATGCTTTTGCATAATGCTTTAATTAAACTTAAAAACATATTCCATGTCAAAGAATTCAATTTCATATGCCTAATATTCAACATTTATACTACTCGATCATAAAAGAGAGCATATTTTTCGTACAACTTTGTTGTCATCAAGAGAGTTGTGTTTTTATAAACACATAGTCATACATACTGATTTGCATATCCACACTGGGATGTGTAAGAATTTGTTATGTTTGTGTCAAAAAACAAAAAACTAGGATTGCAAAATTACTAATAACTAAGTGTTAGCCAAGATAATACCTTGCGCCTTTTGCCGCCAATACTATTGATGTTGGTATGCGTATCTAGCCATTGCTGTAGTTATCTTCATAGTGACTATTGTTGCTGCTACTGCCAACGTCGCCATCAACAAGCTCATCAGATTCATCATCGCAACGCGATTAATCGTTATTTCGGTCAACTGGATTTTCTGGCTCGCGACAAATCCAAAATAAGCTCTCATATTCACTTTTAAGCATGGATTGTGGGTTTTATGCATATTTAGTGCGTACGCCTGTTTGGCTACGAAGAAAATTAAAACCAACCATGTTGATGATTAGCTCCAAATTTTCAAAAGTAGGTTCGGTGCTATTCTCGCCCTGTATATAGCTGAAATGATAAAGTAGTGGACCCAACTTCATCCAAAATGCTGCCTGGTTTCAATATTCTGAAAACAAAAAAAATATAGTTTCGAAACTGGAATTTGATTTTGTATTTTAAGCAAACTTTCAACATTAAAAACATTAAAAATTGCCCTAGTTGCAAGCGTTAAAATTATACAAACATAATAAATTATTACCAAAATAGTTTCATAAAAGTCGTACGCACTCGTGCTTATATATGTATTTATTTTAAGCGTGCATAATTTAAATCACTTGCCCACATGACAGGGACAATTTCGTTAAATATGTACATACCTAAAAATTGTTTCAATAAAGTCCACAATATTAATAGAGCAGTCGATAAAGAAGTAAGTGGCGACACAATGATAGCTGTTAGGCGTTTTGTAGACCTACTAAGAACAAAAATTTAAACGCGATAAAATAAGCACATACATATATACGTACCCAGCCAGCAAAATCATCGTAAACGAGCTCGTAACTGGATATTTTCTTGAAGAGAAACTGGATAAAAAGTCGTGGATAAAAAGTTCGTAAATGTACGTTTTCTTGCTGGCTGGGTATGTACAAAGTATCACAGTTTTATGAACATTCGAAGGTACTTCTAAGGTGTAAATAAACACCATTGGATATAAATGCGCGTGGATGTGCTTGTTTTGATTGATGGTAGTGACCACAAATGATGGAGCTTTCAACTGAATTTGCTCAGACAACAACTCCAATTGTGATACGGAAATACGCATCTGCAATCAAAATAGAAATTTACGTACATCTCATTAAGTTCATCAAATATTTAAGCTATCACATAGATTATTATATAAAAAAAAAACATATATATGTAAATGTAAGTGCGGCTATAATACTGACACTGGTAGGTACTGACTGTGTTTAATGCCTGGAAGCTTGTACTAAGACGTATGCCTGCTAAATTTCAATTGGATACGATTTCTGAAATATAAATATGATTAAAAGTTTGAACGTAAATAATTTAATATTTAATTTTACCAGTTTAAAGAGTGATTTTATTTAACTTTTTGTAGCGTACCAGCTTTGCCTTCTTCACTTTCAATTGTTTATTTAGGTGGCGCACTCTAAACAGTATCCGGCATTTCAAACGCTGTGTGGAAGGTCTACGTTAGCTGCTTTGTTCAGAAGGCGCTGCTTTATATTTTTACAGTGCGCTATTTCCTGTAAATTAACTGCAAGGAATACCGACTCCAAGCTCCTAATACGGTCTACAAAAAGGGGTGAAGGCTTTTTAAGGTACCATTTCGACACCTGATCGACCCACGTAAAAGTTGCGTTACCAGCCATATATTCTAGGGCATCGCCATGCAGCACATCTCTATCGCCTTGCAGCACATCAGCATCGCCATGTATCACATCGGTTCCCCCATGCAGCGCATTGCTGTCGCCTTCCAGCATATCGGTTTCGCCTTCCAGCATATCTGGATCGTATTCCAGCACATCGCATTTGGCGTGAGCGACACTCAGAGCGTCAACAATCTCTGATTCTGCTTTCAAAGGCTCTGGTTCTCCTACTTCCTGTTCATCTGGTGCGCTATTTTCGACCACCCCGCTTCCATACAACACCTGCGGGTTTGATGTGTTCAGCCATTCAACAGAATCCAGCTCGACGTTGCCTGTTTTGTTCAGATTTTCGGCATTCCTTGCTGAAAAATAATTCAGAGGGGCTATTCTCAAACGAGTCAGCGACAAATATCGTATCGCTATCATAACCTTGCGACATTCATAACACACGTCAGCTACTTCCGATAGTGATCCGAATAATGTCGTAAACTGGTTTGAGATTAGGTATACAGGTGTGGATAATATACAATTAAATATACATTTAAAAGATAATTTTTGGCAAACTTACCTAAAATGTATTGTCGGAGCTTGTACCTAAACTCCTTCGGCGTAGAGTGGTCGTTTAATCCTCCCTTGCTTCGTATATTTCCGAAGAAGTGCTCCAGCAAATCTTGATTTAGACGCCGTGTGACAACGTAGTTGAAGTTGTACTTCACTACCACATACTCGTACAACTGTAACAGTGCGTTACCAAAACACCCCTTTGAAATTGTTGTAAGCTATTTTTGCGAGGGATGATAAAATCTGACATGAAATTTTTCATGCGTCCCAAAATCTCGAGCTGCCGCTGCATCTTCCGTCCAAATGGTTCCTTTAAGTAAATTATATGCAGATAATAAGTTGTTAATTTTATGAAATATTACCTTTCCAGGATAATTGAACGTTTTAACGGAGGAATTGAGCACGTCGTACC